TTTGTACATCAGTTCTTTCTCTAAATGCAGATGTCATATTGCTGCATATCCTTTACAGTTATTTTAGGTACTTATAACAGGCAAGATAGCTTATTCGCTCAAAGTTGTTCTTAAAACAATATTGGTGTTACTGTATACAACATTCTCTTGCTTCTGCTCATTTCACTCTTCATTATTTGATGCAAGTCTTTCCATCTTTTTTCTACAACAATCAGCCTTATCATTTCTTCTAGCAGAAATGCATTCCATCACAATCATATATCACAACTTGTTCAGCAGTTCCCCAAGTGATGTGCACCCTTGCAATTTCCAGTTCTTTGGGACCACAAAGAGAGCTACTATAAACATTTGAGATGCATAGATTCTTTTTCTTTTCCTTAATTATCTTCAGAAACAGACCAAACAAAGGTATTGCTAGGCCAAAGGATATAGGTAGTTTAATAACTCTTTGGGCATAAATCCAGATTGCTTCCCAAATGGTTGCATCAATTCACACTTCCACCGAGAATGAATTAGTGTCCCAATTTTTCTGTATGCCCTTCAATATTTGTTGCTTTCTTCTTCTATCATTTTATCCAGTTTAGTAGGTGTAAAATGATATCTCAAGATAGTTTCAATTTACAGTTCTCTAATCAATGATGATTAGATCATTTTGTTCATATGATTATGTCTTTTTATTTCTTCTTCAGAAAATTGTCTGTTCATATTCTTTCACCATTTAACAATTAAGAAATGACTCACATTCTTATATATTGGAAAAAGTTCTTTATATATTTTAAATATGAGGCCTTTATCTTATAAATTGTCTATACAACATTTTTTCCAGTTCTCTGAGAGAAACCTGGAAAGGCTTATATGGTCTGATGCTCTGTGAGATGAGCAGAATCAAGAGAACTTTGTGCACAATAACAGCCATGATGTGTGATGACTAATATTGATAAACTTAACCGTTCCTCAGCTATTTTATTGTGGGCATAGACAAGGAAGGTAACAAATAGTTTCCACATATTATGGTAGTCAACAGTCAGTAGTTTGGTTTAACTGTAACAGGAAAACTGAGTATTCTGTCTTAGATGATCCCACCACATTTATTTTTCCATTTCCTGCCTTCAGGAAGCCCAGTGGGTCTGACTCTCCAGAGATTTCCTCTGGCCTGGATGAGCCCCTGGTATATGCAGTGCAAACTTAAATTATAGGAGGAGATATCCCATGAAAGAAAGATATGTCAGATCTCTACTTACACTAACGCAACTCACCTTAACACCACTAGTGAATTTATTTTTAGCCCAGTGAATTCATGATGGCCTAAATTTCTGTGGTTTAACATTTTTCCTGTAATTTAGGGGGGTTATTGTACTATTTATCAATAAAAGGAATCTGCTTCATGTCAAACCAGCCCTCTCCTAGAAACTGACCTCCCCCATTTCTTCTTACTCGGCATTTAGAAAGAGAGATTCTATTAGGTTCTCTTTGTAGTTTAACATAACCTCCCTCATAACTTCCTTTGAGCAAAGTAAATAAATTTAGACCAATACTCTTTTGGGTTAACCATAAGTTTATCTTATTACTGTGCCATAATCTGTACCAACTGACCTAGCTGTCTGGAGTCAGATGACTTGGTTTCAAATTCTACCTTTGACACTTTGGCACTGTGATCTGCAAAGAATCGTTTCAATTACCTTACCTTCAGTTTTCTCTTTGTGTGAGACTTGACCAGGTGCCGTCAGAGGTCTTTTTCAGCTCCAGAACTGAACAAGCCATTTAATGCTATTATTACCTCACAGCTTGTAGCAAACATTTGAGCATCAGAGGACAACATAAATTTTAAAGAAACAGAAATAAGCTTTAGAATACCTTGCTATGGGCAAAGGGGGAAAGGAGAGAGGTGGTACAGGAAGTAAGTATTCTCAGAAAACGAGGATGACTACAAGATGATAGCCAGGGAAGATTTTTTTTTGCATTATTACATTTACATTACAATTTTACATAATTTACAGGATAATGTTATTCTACATTTTGGGGGAATAGTATGTTGTACATGGTAGATCTGCAATTCTATATGCAATCATCTTTTTTATTGTGCTGTGTTGTGGAAATGCTGGTTTTGCTCTGTGAATTGAATGTGAAATATATTTTTTAAAAACATCCAATTCAGCTCAAATCCCAGTGTGGAGGGTCTACAGGGTCAGTCATCAGGATAAAAGAGAATTCACACAAGACTGAAGTTCCTCTCCCAAAGCTAGAGGATTTGGGCTGCTTTTCATGCCAAGGGAAAAGAACTTTGCATGTCCGCTTCCCTTCATTGTTCTTCTTTATCCTTCATTCTCAAAAAGGACCATGGCATCAGAAAGGTGATGTCATGACTTGCAAGTGAATTCCATTAAAGTGATGGAGGACTGTGGAGTCACCAGACTCACTTTCTTTTCCAGAGCCCTCTGGGTCCAGTGGCAAGAAATAAATCAGGAGAAGTAAAAATATCTGCCACATTCCTTCAATAAAAGGAAGAACAGCTGCCACCTCACTGGGGTTAGTCCTCTCCCTGATCTACAAAAAGAAGGATCCTCCAGAACTGGTTGTAACAGCCTGGAGAGCATTTTATGACATTAATAATATGCAACATTGATGATGCAAAAGACAGGGTCTGTCCTTTCTCATCATCCCAATTATTCTCAATATCAAGAAAATGCTTATTAGGCTTCTTTCTATCACTAACATTTTCTGAGGCAGTCTCTTCCAATTTCTGATTAAGGAAGCACCCTAAGTCTCTTTCGTCCTTGATTTTGAATTGAATCTATTCATGGGTACTTTTTCCCTCTATATCTCTGCCCCTGTCCTTTGGCTCTTGTGTTTCCTTCTGGTGCCTTTGCTCATTTTTATAATTGGAAACCACCAGTTATTTACCTCTACTGCCAATCATGTTCTCTCATATCTCTCTTCTACCTAGAGTAAATGAAGCATCAAATGGACAAGACATACAGAGAAAGCTTCCATTGTTATCTCAAGGCATATACTGCTTCTATTATAGGCCCATAATGTATTGTGGGACAGTGACATAGGCACCCCAAGAAAACAACACCCCCATTTCTTCTTCTACAGCATTTAGAAAGAGAGTTTCTACGATATTCTCTCTGCAGTTTAAAATAACCTCCCCCTCAGCTTACTTTGAGCACATTATGCCCTTGAGGGGCATGAGTTTGTCTTCTGCACTGTCAGAACATTTTGGACTGAACTTCCAAATAAGACATGACCCTGAGAGGAACAACTAGAATTTCCTGACTTTTAAAAATGAATTTAAATTCTTTTTAATAAGTTATTCGTGCATGATTTACCCATATGCTTTAATAATTTTGGGATTCTATTGGGGAGCCAGTCCCTACAACTTCCTCATGTAGAGTCAGTTCCTTTCATACTTCAAGCCCAAAAATGCTCTCAGGTTGATTAATGAAATTACTCACATGACCTAAAGCTATAAACACTTTTTTTTATACTTCATTACAAGTTGTTAGTGGGATCCTCTTTAGTCTCTACATAAAGGCATTTAAATCTATGCATAATGCATGTGATATTGCTGTATGCATATAATACTGAGAAGATTAAAATGGATCTTGTATCATTTTGCCATTGATCTTATTTACACTTAATTGATTATGCCCTATAACTGAGTACTTAGTATGGTTCTATGTCTCTGAACTTAGTTCAGAATTCAGCTGACCTGTAGGGGATTAAGTTTGAAATCGAGTTCTCTTGCTAATCACTGTGCTACTCTTATCTGAAGGAATGCTGCTAACCTGCAGGGAATATGGCTTGCCATAAGGGAATTGGCTCTAATATCTTTACACCACCAAACTATCCTTCAGGGACATCTGCTTTGCTATCCGAAGAAGTCTAGACCATTATCTGGGAACATGAAAGTAGATTCAAAATAACCACTTGTTAGTCATAGATGGCAGAGGATGTGGGTTGGTGTTAGGACCCAGTCCCAAAAATAATTTCCAAACAATCATGTTGCTCCCCACAGGTCACCTATGTAAAAAGTCATGTTGACCTCTGCCCTTCATTTCACCCATCCTGTTCTGTTCCTGGCTCTGTACTTGCCAAAATCTATACAAGGGGGGCTGTTTTCTGCTTGGGATATGTCAGATCTATGTTTCAGGAAGGTGATATTAATAGCTGAGTTTAGTGTGGACTGGAGTGAAGAGAGTACTATGGCTGGGAGAACAACCATCAAGCTAGCATAATAGTCCAGGTATGAGTTGGTCAAGGCCTACCTCAGGGTGGTTGCAGTACCTTGAGGAGAGAAGGAAGAGCATACTAGATTTGTGATAAAAGTAGAATTGATAATACATAACTACGAATTGATTGTGGGGTAGAGGTGGGACTGAGAGTGAAGGCATTAAGAATGATAGCTAGGTACTGGAAAAATTGCGTTCTCCTGGGATAGAAGAAAAAAAAAACATGAGCCATAAAAAGAAATTCACTATATACCTGTTCCTGAACAGAGGGATCTTTTACTTTGTGCATCATGAGCTCAGTCCACTTCTTGCCTCACTAACAGTTCACCGCCTGACAGGGGAAGTTTTTATCTGGTCTCACACTCCTTTTCCTCACTGTGTATATTGTACAGTAATACACAGCTGTGTCCTCAGTCTCAACGGAAGTCATTTGTAGATACGACATGCTGTTGCCATTATCTCTGGAGATGGTGAATCGTCCTTTCACAGAGTCTGCATAGTATGTACTACTAGTAGTATGAATGCTTGCAACCCATTCCAGTCCCTTTCCTGAAGCCTGACAGACCCAGTGCATGTAGTAGCTGCTGAAAGTAAATGCAGTCCCTTTGCAGGAGAGACTCAGAGATCCCCCAGGCTGTATCACATCTCCCCCAGACTCCACCAGCTCCACATCACAGTGGACACCTGCAACACAGAGACATTACATTAAAGTTAATAGTCACATGAAGTCACCACTTCATATTGTCCCTTCCTCTCCATAAAACTACCTTGGAAAATGGTCAGAAGGAAAATCCAGTTCAGCCTAAATTTCATGGTGAGTTTCCAGGTTAGTCCTCCGTGGGGAAGGACACAGAGCACTTGAGTTTGTCTCCCAAAGGAGGTACAGGTACAGGCTTGGGGCTGCTTTTCATCCCAGTAGGGAGGGAACCAATTTGCATTTCTTTTTCTATTCAAAAAGAGGAAGAACACCTTCTTCCTCCTAGTGAGATGTTTCTTTCCTGAACTTTGGAAAGTTCTCTTAGAACTAGTTCCAAAGGACTGGGGAATGTTGTTGACACTGAGACTCTCAGAACTACTGGTTTTGACTCAGTCTCGATGACCCCCCATCACTTCGATAACTCTAAACAGTTGGATGACATGTAGTAGGGGTTTTCTGCCCTCCTAATACATTTCTAATTAATCTTAGGCCCATTTCTGATTGTCAAAGCTCCTCAAACATCTTCCATTTCCAATGACCAACAGACTGAATGTCTTTTCTGAATCAGTTTCTTTTCAAGGTTTCTTTTCCTGATCCTTGGCACTCTACTGCTTCCTAACTCAACTTTTCATCTCTTTTTACCTAGGATTACATTTCACCTAAATTATTTACCCATAGTTTCAGTTATACTCACTCATTGCCTTTATATATACCTTTTTTAAATCTTCTAGGTGGAGAAATTGAGTTATGAAAATCACAGTTCACAATAAGAGATTTGCAAGTCTCCTCCAACAAATACCTTGTTCCTCAGAGAGTCATAGCCTATTTAATAGGAGAGAGAAACTGTTACCCTCTATGACACTGACCTAATAATCTGATTTAGGAAGCAAGTATGGCTAAGAATTCTTTGAGATGATCCTCATAGTTCAAGTACCATTCTCATCACCCAGAATATCTAGCTCTGCTGTCACCTGCTGAATATTTAATTGTATGCTCAGAAACATGTTTCCATTCTCACTTGCACATTCTTTTTTTCTAGAGAAGGGAAATTTATAATTTCAGGACCCTTAACCTTTTAGAGTTCTATATCTAGAATCTTTCCAAGATCATCTTTCTTTTTTCTCAATGACACAACTCAGTGGAGGAAAAAAAGCCAACAATGCCTCTCTTAATCACCATTATATCTATGGAGTCTTCATCATAAAGCAGGGAGTCTGAGTCATGTTTATTTGGTTTCTTTCCCCTGTTATTGTTATTCCATTTTGGGTGGCTCCTTCTTACTTTGTTATTTACCAAATTAAGGATAATTTATAATGCAACAGAGCTGTGGACAGAGTTCAATGACTGTAGAAAAGGAAAGCATGCATTGGTACTCTTCAAGTGCTGGGTCCATAAGGCATTCTTGCAGACATGCTAGTATAAGGGTCTTCGATTTTTAGACTTTTCCCATTTCAGATATAAAATAATCACCCTATGTGTCCTATTCACAGATAGTAAAGGTTGCAAAACTTGGGAGTGTCTCATTCACTCTTTCTAAAGCAATTTAAATAAAGCTTAAATATTTTTAACTCCCTTAGCTAACATGAACACTTTTCATCAACCTGAGAGTATTTAGGGTGCTTGCTTATATGATGAAGGCAACTAATCTCATGCAATCAAAGTCTAGATTACCCATGCCCCTTGCCTTGATATAAGAAAAGCTATCTAGCCACCTCTATTTTAAATAGAGGGAGAATCAGCTCTGCTTTCAGAAGTTGAGTTAAGGAGAAAAGCAGGCCCAGGGAATGCATGAAGTGGCCATCAAAGATACTGTTCCCAGAAAAAGTAACATTTTGACTATTATAAATACCCACATTAACTACAAAAGGCATGTAAAAGAAGACATTGTCTGCCTAAAAACAAAGAACTGATAAATGAGTTGTAAAATGATTTTACAAATATAAATATTTGTGTCTAATAGCCATCTCTACAGTGGGGGGAAATAAAGAAAGATATTTACATGACAACTTTTTAAAAGTTTATGTAAACTTGTTTAAAGGGAATAGCATGCTGTGCTTAATAGATTTTCAGTTTCATATGCAATCACTTTTAATTACACTATATTATGCAAAAGGTAGTTTTATTCCATAAATTGAAAATAAAAGAAATTTTAAACATTTTTAAAGATCACTATGGAATTTCACAATAAGAGAAAGGAAGTCAGGGTGTTGAAGTGGCAGAGACTTGCATTGGCTTGGCCACGTGTTTCTTATATGTATCTTTTAATAGCATACTATGCATGGGCCCACTCTTCCATTGACTCTGTGTATATTTGTGGAAAAGTGTGCCTCATATTATAGTGGAAAGGTTCATGCTCTAATTGTTTCTTTGCTTTGAACTAGTTGTGCCAAGTGGTTTGAGTCCTTGAGTATGGACTCACAAATACCTGGGGTACTTGATCTCTTGATCTTCCAACCTGTAAACATGATGTAGAGGAGTAGACCAAGAGGGAATGCTACATTAGAAATCACCCCTGGGGAAAATTTTTTTTAGATTTCCTTCAATAAGAATATAAAGAAATTTGTATCAAAATCTGATCATATATCTTAGTCTTCTGACTAACAAAATGGAGAAATCTCTTTCCTCTCCAATCCTCACTGATGGTGCTTGGGTGTTTATGGGTGCTTGTACTTGGACCCTAATTTACCTTAGTGCCAAACAGTATAATAAATTCTGACTTAAGCATTAAATTAAGAGCATCACATTTCATTTGAAATATTACCAGAATGAATTAAATTACCTTTTGGTTGTGTTCCGGTACACAAAAACTCTTCTCTTTTATGTGAGGCAGAAAAGATTAAGTGCTACTCAATCTGCCCTCTTTGATCTGAGGGGAAAAGGATTCACCCTTCTTTCCTCCTTATCTTTCTCTCTTCTACATTCAACAACTTGGCCAAAGTTGAATGTAAAGAGAGAGGGAGAAAGAATTTTTTCCTAACAATTCTCCAAAAGTTTCAAAACCTTTACTCTCAAACCCTCTGTTCACACTGTTCATGCAAATAGCTTATGCTTTTCTTTCTACCCATACTTCTCTCATTCCTACATGCTTGAACTTTCTTGCCTTCCTTCTACCTACTTATCCCTCTGATGGACTTTGATTAAAGTCCCTTTAAAACTGTACATATCTTATTTCTTTCTAATTCTCACCTGACACTTCTCGACTTGCCTTTCACCAATCATATAACCTACATAATGAAGTATTTTTCTCTCTCCCATTAACCTGCTCCTCTGAGGCTGATGTTACCAGGGAGGAAGAGGGGGAGAAAAATTAAGCAGCATTCCAGAGTCCAGCTGCAGCCCTTGGAATGCTGTTCTTGCTACCTGGCTGCAAAGAGTGTCAAATTACACACAGACACAAACACAGAACAGACACATAATGATGACAGGGGATCCAAAAGCTCAGAGAGACTTGTCAGAAATCCCCTACACAAATCAGATAATTTTATCATGGTTCTCCAGATCTTATGGAGACCAGGCAAAAGTTTCCTGAAGATCTTGGAGACTGAGTTTTCTGCAGTTCTGTAAAAAATACCTAAGCAATCTCTAGTGTAGAGGGAGATTGGCCCATCCCTTTAGCAATAAGACTAAAAAAAAAAAAAGGACTGGCTCTGTAGTCTACTGGCCTTCAACAGGTCCTGGTGAGGGAGAAAAAAAACCCTAAAAGTTCCCAACAAGGCATCCCACTCAAGAGGAAATCCGCTAGAGCCTGTTGCAAGCTGGACCCAGCCCCAGCAAGCCTTCCTAGGTGCTTGAGGGGTGACCCAACTATAGGGCGAGAGGAGGGGAGGCTTACCTCAACTCAAAGAAGGCCTGAGACTTCAGACCAGGTCCACATTTTGCCATAAATGTTGCGGTATGAGAGCTGTGACCCCTCAAAGACTGGAGTGCACCATGGGTCATCTGGAATGAATTCACAGACTCAAGCATTCTTTAAGTCAAGGTGGCAAAGTTGTTATCTTTTCAGTGTCAAGGTTTTAAGGATCCTGATCTTAAAGTGGTACAGTTAAAGTTTATATAGGATGAAATACAATAAACATATGCCAAATATGTTACTAGGTGATTCGGGGAGATTAGGGAGATTAAGGAGTGCTCAGTTCTTAAAAGAACATGCACTTCTTGTACCTATTTTACAGGCATTTTACCAGAATTCACTAAGAAAAGCCCACAAGGGGGGCCACATGGAGGTGTGGTTTTAGGCCTGCTACCTCACTAAGTTAACTAGAGTTCAGGGGTAACTGAGAGTTGTCCAGTCTGCCACCAAGCAGTGTCTTGTTTGACAAGATAGATGTAGGGAGTATACATATGTCTTAAGTCTAGAATACAGTTAATGAGGAGCCCAGGATGTAGACAATGAGGTAGAGCAGTAGTACAGAGAGCCAAGTGGGTAAGAATGTCTTTATGACCCAGTGCAAAGCCAGTTCAAATTATTAATTCCTTCAGGTGTTGCTTAAAACTGCACCAAGGAGAGAAATAAGGGTCTTCCTGGGGCCTACTCATGAGTAATTGCCAGGTATACTGTCCTTGGGCTGGGGAGAAACTGTCAGGGATAGTATTTCTGAGGCTAGGGAGAAATTTGGGTCTAAGTACAATCACCAAAACATAAGCACCCTGTTACAACCTCTCAAATGTTTCCAAAAGAACAATAATGAATGAGAAGAAAAAGCAGTTTCAGCTAGCAACACCATCTAAGCACCAAGAATTCTAACAAGGCAGCAAACCAATGAATTAACAGCAGAGAAGGTTTATTATCCCTAATCCCTAATACGATCATTCAAAATCTCCTCTCCTACAAGCTCCTACACCCTTGCAGGGGTGGCACAACTTGACTCATGGCTTATGAGAGAACTAAATTCTTTCTAATCCACACTGTGCAGCAGAGGTGGAGGTACAGAAAATCAGATTTTTGCTCTCCTTGGAGTGGCAGAATGGCAGTATTCTGGGCTGCAGCAGTTCTTAGCTAGAAAAAAGTAAGGAACAGAAGGAATTGGAGGAGGAAGTCAGAATGTGTATGATTCCACCAGATCTGGAAGAAAAAGGTCCTGGAATCCACCTGAAGCCATTTTGTCCTTTCAGAAGCCACATGGGGGGAGACTGAAG